TGATTTTCTTAATATTTCATGGGTGCCACTGCAGCTTCTCCATTTGTTATTCATCCCTCCTTATACTTATATAACTAACCCATCTTTTTTTTTTTATCATCTTTGATCTTCACGGTGTCTTACACCTTTTCTTGTGCACAGGTCTATACTGGTAACAAGAAGAATAACATTAATAATACCTCTCATTTCTAGAGCATACAAAGGTTCACATAGTATTTTCTGGAAAACCACCTTGTGAAGTAGATCTCATTATCCCCATTTTACAAATGAGCAAACTGAGAGTCACTGAGGAGAATGAGTTGCCCAAAGCACACAACTAGGAAGGGGCACATTCCTCTAGGCATAGGTTTCCAAAGTGGGTGACACTGTCCCTAGGGGGCGATGGAATGATTGGAGTAGTGGAAGAGGAGGGGATGGTAGCAGCCTCAGGTACAATTGGGGGGTGTTGAATAAAAATAAGGGGGCTATGGAAGCATAAGGAAAGAAAAGAAGAAAACTTTGAAAAACCATTCACATATGTTTCATCCGTTGTGTGACAGAGTTAAAATTATAGTGATTAGATTATTTTCCAAATAAATACATAAAATGCAAGTTATAACTGATGAGCTGTCCAGTCCACCAACAGATCTTAACAAGCAAGTGTTGGCAGGCAAGCAAGTTGCGCACTGTCAGGAAGTCCAGCATTTACCAGCAGGAATACGTGCATGTAATAACTTGTTTACAATATGATACTACATGGTTACATGATGCAATATTGTATCGTCAAAATTTCAATTCAGGGAAAAGAATACAAATTTACAATAAACTGTTAAATTTAAGATACGTTACGTTTTCTTAAAAATATTTTATATATTTTTTTGAAATGACACAAATAAAAAAAACATTAAAGAAAGTAGATTTTCAGGGGAGCACTGAAATTCTTTTTTTGCAAGGGGGCAGTAGGTTAAATAAGTTTGGGAACCTCTGTTAGAGCTTTCCCATTACAAAGTGCTTCCCCATCTGTGACCTCACTTGATCCTCACAGCACCCCTAGAAGAGAAATAGACCAGAGGTTTTACATTTTACAGATGAAGGCAGTAGGGCTCAGAAAGCTGGACTGATCCTCCTCTGATCACAGAGCTATTTGAGTGACCTTGGAACTGGAACTGCAGCTTTTGACTCCATGTCTAGCACTCTGTCCACCACTGTGCCCCTTCCTTAGCTTTTCAGGGAAAACAAATGGAATCACATTCTAAAGGATTTGAATTTTTAAAAAAAGATTGGTATAAGATGATACACATGAGCACGTATGGCTACACAGCAGTTTATCTGAAGAAGATCTGAGGCTAAGTTGTCCTACAAGTGACTAAATTGTTCATGCCCTTTGATCTCAATACCACTCCTCTCTGGAGATACTCCAATAAGGCCAAAGACAGGGAAGGCCCCATGCATCCCAAAATATTTGTTGTACCACTTTTTATGGTAGCAAACTACTGGAAATAGACTAGATGTCTGTCAAAAGGGGAATAGCCAAACATATGTTGGTATGTGAATGTAATGGAATATTATTGCACTCTGAGAAATAGTGAATTATAAGGAGTTTGAAGACACTTGGGAAGATTTATTTGATACAGAACTAAGTAAGCAAAACCAAGAGGGCAACACCAGTGACAAAGAAAACTTTTTTAACTAAGTAAAGGAAAATCCTAAAAGATATCAGAATTCAGATCAGTTCACCATATCATTGATGTTGAAACATTCTTCTCCTCTATGGAGAGGTGGCAGACTACAAGTGCTGAATGAGGCATATGCTGTCAGACATGGTAAATGTTATTTTGTTTTGTTTAAATATATTTCTTATTACAAGAGGAGTTTTCATGGCGGAGGGGGATAGAGTATTGAGCAGTGACAGCACTATGTCTGAAAGCATCAGTAAAAAATTTTTTTGCAATATGTATAGGTTTTGGCAGGCTGCCAGCCATGTGATATGTGATCTTAGGTTGCATTTCTTTGAAGCAAGGTGTCCAAGATTGCATGTGATCATTGCTTCACCATCTGCTCTGGTCCAATAGTATTAGAATACTGGGTTCAGTTTTGGGAATCACATTCTAAGAAGGATACTAGAGAGTGTCAGAACAGGGAAGCCAGAATGGTAAAGGACCTTGATTGACAGCATAAGAGGCTACCTTGCAGGAACTGAGGATATTTATCCCAGAGACGTAAAGATTTAGGGGAGGCATGTTAGCTGCCTTCAAGTGTTTAAACAGATGGAATAGACTTACTGTGTTTGATCCCAGAAGGCAGAGCTAGAAGTAATAGGTGGAAATCAAAAAGAGGCAAATGTAGGCTTGGGATTAGGAGAAACTTTCTGACTGTTAGATCTCCCCATATTTGGAATGAAGTACCTTAGGAGGCAGTGGATTTCCCTCTATGTGAGCTGTTTAACAATGGCCTCTTGCAGGAGGAGGAATTATTTTTCAGGTGTAAAGTGGACAAGAGAGCCCAACTCTGAAATTCTTTGATCCTGAGAAGCCCTTTAGTGAGAGAGGGAAGAGGAAAGGGGCAAACTGTGCAAGAACCAAGAACTCTTGAAGATGGCTTCTACCTAATATGCAGTGATCTCTGATGGGGGAATATTAAGCTTCAAAGAAAGCCTTGCCCTGACTAGCTGCCAATGAATATCACTTGTCTCATTCATGATTTCCACCACAGACCAAGTCAGAAGACAAGATGACTTGTTCGTCTACTCCACTGACTTATAAAAGGAAACCAGTTCTTCTGTCCCCCAAAGACTTCTGGGAATAGAACTGGGGACAGAGACAGAACTTAATACCCAAGAAATGTTGTCAGTGGATTTATTCTCTTCTCTCCCTCCCTTTGCCCTACCCCAATGACTTGAGAATAGGGAACGCAGAGGTCCCCAATATTCTGGAAATTCTAAGCTGTAGCAGAAAGCCTGTGGTTTCAGGGGTCATCCATCTAAAGTATCCAGTGCCTGAACAGTAACCCCAGTTACAGCATCCTCAACAAGTGGTCTTTGCCTCTGAAAGACCTGATTCAGTGATGGGAAACTGGTACCTCCTAAGCCGCGGCATTGTCCTTGAGAGGAGGCACATTCCTGGGCCAGGTTCCACCCTTCAGGCCACTCCAGATAGAGTATATATGTTAGGGCAGAGAGTACTTTGGCCCAAAACTTTTTGACGGGACTTGCAATGGCTCTTCCTTGTATTCCTCCTTCTGGCTGGCCTCTGGGGTGGTCTCAGATCATCCTGGCTTAAGCAGGAGCCTCCCTTCATCATTTCTTACAGCACAATAATATTCCATCACATTTATATACCATAACTTGTTCAGGAATTTCCCAGTTAATGGGCACTCAAGCTTCCAATTCTTTGCCACTACAAAAAGAGCTGCTATAAATATCTTTGTACATATGGATCTTCATCTCTTTGCCAATCTCCTTAATCTTAATGCCTTTCCTCTGAGATCACCACCAATTCATCCTGTATATATCTTGTTGTACACAGTTATTTCCATCTTGTTCACACATTTATACTTCAAGGTCCTTGAAAGCAGCGACTAGTTTTGTCTTTTTTTGTATCTTAGCACAATGCCTGATGCTTAATAATTGCTTATTGACCTGGCACCAAAATACCTTCCCAAAGTTATTATGAATCTCTTGACTTGATACTCCCAAACTGACCTTCTTGCTGTTTCTTACACATGCCAACCCATCTCCTGGTTCCCTGCTTTTGCCCAGGTTGACTCCCAAACTTGAAATACATTCCTTCCTTTCTGCTTTTTTAGATAACTATTTCCCTTCAGATTTCACTCAGCTAAAACCTATGAAATGGCTTCCTTACCCTGAAAATTCATTCCTCTCTTGGTCTTCCCATCCCACAAATTCACTTAACTTCACTCAGTTGGCTCTTTTTGATGAAGTAGGAGCCCAAGAGGAGATCTTTGCCCCTCATCCCAAAAAGAATTTGGGTCCCATTTGTCTACTTGACTCTCCTTGAACACTTTTACCTGGTCAAGGAAGTCTAGCAGTCTCCAGAGGCTATCATCCAATCAACTGGCCTATTCCTATTGCCTAAGTCTAGGACCTATCTCCCAATTCTTTGTTACCCTAATTAAGCCTAGTCCTCCATTGTCTATTACAGCTGGTTGGCCCCAGCCTACTTCCCATCGTTGGTCCTATCTCCCGATCCTCCCTAGACCTTCAGCCAGTCACTCCAGCTTACTGGCCACTCCCATCAAGATACCCTTTCTCCTAGACCCTCCTCCAGTCACCCCAAACTACTTGGCCACTCCTAGATCCTTCCCATAGTCTTTCTGCATATAAGATCCATTCTGGCTGCCATTTAGGGGCTGAGACTTCCTCATGCCTGGCCGTCTTTAAGAGTCTGGCCAATATGGCTGATCTTTAATAAACCTTGTCTTTGGCTGAAAGAAGGCTTGGGTCCAGTTCATTCGGGCAGGACCTAAGTGTTGTGATTTTGGGGTCCAAGCACCTCTAAACCTCAATATTTTCACAATTTTCTTTTTAAGCAAAAAATCTAGGACAACCACATCTTCATTTATCTTAATTATTCCTGCCTGACTCCCCATAATTTCTTCACCCAAATCCTCCAAGGCACAATCTCCTCTCTCCACCATCCCATCAGCTTCCTTTTACATATAGTATAGTATTCCCCATAAGAAGTTAAGATCTCACAGGGCAGGGCCTTTCCTTCTTCTTATATATTTGTATTCCCAGCACTTAGCCCAGTTTCCCATACAAAGCATTTAATAAATGCTCCTGGCTTCTTGACTCGGTCCTTTCCAGCTCCTCTCATTAGTGTCTTCCTAGGTCATTTTGTATTTGTCACCATTTTGTATAGGCCTGAGGGCAGGTGCTGTTTTGTTATGTCTTCATATCTCCCCAGCCCTTCCTAGTTACCTGATACACAGTAGGCACTTCATAAATGCTTGTTTTAATTTAATTCATACTGGAACCAGGGTTCCTCACACCAATCGCCCACCTGACTCCCACAGTCTTGGTTCTAATATTTGTGCAATGAGGGAAGCAGTATTCTTCGAACTCTCAGAAGTAGCTTCCCCCTTCTCGGGGTGGATTAGGGGCACAAAGAAGACACACGCAGACCTCGCAAGGGCCAGACGCCACCTAGACAGTGAAGAGTCGCGGTTAACGCCCAGGATGGAGGTGTGGCCTCACATGGCCGCACTAACAGTTAGAAGTGGGAGGGGTGGGATGAGCAGTGACAATTGGACCGGGAAAGGGGCGGAGCTGGCGCGCTGGGCCAACCACTAACCCTCTTGTGAGAGACGCCATCACACTCGAAATCGTAGAGGGGGCGTAGCGCTGAATCCCTCGACTCGCGCATGCGCGTCCCTAGGGAAGGCGATTGTGGCGGGGATACGCTCGAGCGAGGAACGGATCTTTGTCAGTTACTAGCGCATCACTCCGCTCAGGGAGACGGAAGTACTTCCGGGTCGTCACCGGCTACCACTTCCTGGCACGGTGAGTAAGGGTAGCGGGTCCGTGGATGGCGCTATGGGATTCCTCAAGAGGAGCCCCATCTTCCCTACCCCATCTCCGATCCCGAGAGTGATCCTTTCGGCTAATCTCGTTCCCTGGGGTTAGGTTGGGTCCACCTATTGGCCATATCCCCCTTCCCGAAGCCACGCCCTTTCTCCGAGCTCTCTGTTCATTGGCCTTGCTCTCCGTCATTTGGCAACAAATATTCCTTTCCAGGCCTTTGGCCCGGTCCCCTTGTCCTAGGCCCGGCCCCCTGTTCATTCTCCTTCCGTGTAGGGCATGCTCCTGCCCAAAGCCCCGCCCTCCTGGCTCTGGGCGTTCCCCGCGTAGACACTCCCCCAATCGGAGTGCTGCTCTTCATTTACTTCCTCCCATTGGTTCAGTCACTTTCCTGGGACCCGCCTCTTGTCTCTTTCCTTTGGTTCTTGCTTGATCACGCCCTCTCCTCACCCTCCAACAGTCTTTCTTCCCCTTAATCCTTAACGCTGCCTGTCATTTTTAGGATGGTACGTGGGCTCCCCGTGGTCCCTGGGCAGCGCCGTTCCAGTGTCCCACGTAGCCTCCATCAATCTGGCCTGGTTTCCTGTCTGAGCTCTGCAGTGAGAAAAAGTGGACTCGATTTGATTTGGGGGAAAGAGCAATGACCTGGGAGTTAGTCTGGAGACCCGAGTTCAAGTGCAGTTGGTGTAGACGACTTAGCATGGGATTTGGAATTAGAAGATCCGGGTTCATATCCCGATTCTGCTATTTAGTAGTATGACTTTGAGCAAGGCATTTAACTTTTCCAGGCCTCATTTGGGCATCTAGGTGGCTAAGTGGATAGAGTGCCGAGACTGGAGTCAGGAAGACTCATCTTCCTGAGTGTGGCCTCAGACACTGGCTATGTGACCCTTGACAAGTTATTTAACTCCATTTTACCTCAGTTTCCTCATCCGTAAAATGAGCTGGAGAAGAAAATGGTAAGTATTCCAGTATCTCTGCCAAGAAAACCCCAAATGGGGTCAGGAAGAGTCACACATGACTGAACAAAAACAAGGCCTCATCTACAAATGAGAAGGTTAGACTAGAGTCCCTTGCCCCTTTTGATATTCAGATCCAAACTGTTATAGGGAAAAATTAAGTAATTTTTCAGCCATAGTCCTATAATTGCTTATCTATCTAAAAGGTTACTAGAAAAGCAAGTCTAAATGCAAATCCAGTTAACTGCCCTTGCAGGGGTGGAGAGTGAATGGGACTTTTTTCAGGGATAAGACTCTTTTTGTTCAGAAGTTTTTCAGTGGTGTCCACCTCTTCCTGACCCCATTTGGAGTTTTCTTGGAAAAGATACTGGTGTGGTTTGACATTTCCTTCTCCAGCTTATTTTACAGATGAGGAAACAGGGTTAAGTGACTTGCCCAGGGTCACACAGCTAGTAAGGGTCTGAGGCCAGATTTGAATACAGAAAGATGAATCTTCATGATTTCAGTCTCATCATTCTATCTGCTGGGCCACCTAGCTGCCCCAGAGGAAGGGATATCATACCAATTATTACAGCTTCATTCAGAAGTTTGACTAATAAAAATCAGGTGCCATAACCAGAAAGCCAAAGAGCCATAAAATGACCTCAGTTAACCCATAGTGATTACTTTGGCAAGCAGAGAAATGTGGGAATCAGGGGTAATAACACTAGTGTAGAATATAATCTCATCTTTAAAATCTTTCAAAGAAAGATTGTGAAAGATTATGAACAGCGTCATGTTATAAAACATTCAAAAATAGAGGACAGCACAGATTGTTTAGATAAAACTTCCAATATTTTTGTGATAATCTTTTCAGTATCAAGGACAGTGGAATCACATTTGGAGTCTAACCTCACAGTACTAGATATGAATAAGTAAGAAAACACTTAAGAAAACAAGATGGGAAAAGCATCTGTGCCAGACCAAGTGTGTACAGAGGGGATCAGTGATGGAGGTAACAGTTTTGAGGGCACTAAATGTTGATCTTTAAGATACCTGAAGGAGCGGGCCAGCTAGTGTGGCGCAGTGGATAGAACACTGGCCCTGAAGTCAGGAGGACCTGAGTTCAAATCTGGCCTCAGACACATGATACTCACTAGCTGTGTGACCCTGGTTAAGTCACTTAACCCTGATTGCCTCGTTCCCCCCCAAAAAAAATAAAATAAAAATCTGAAGGAGAAGATAGCAAAGGTATTTAAAAAAATCTCAGGCTTCATGGTTACTGAAAAAATGAAGGCATTTGAAAAACCACAATAACTACTGACATATCTATTTTCCCCATATATGATATTTTAAAATTTTATGAAAATAACCTGCTCTTGCATGTAGAGCATTTTTTATATAAAAGTATCAGAAGGGAAGATTTTCTCAAGTGATTCCACAGTAAACCACATCTTTTTTAAAAAATTAATTTTTAGCTTTCAACATTCACTTTTATAAGATTTTGAGTTCTAAATTTTCCCCCTCCCTCCCCAAGACAGTATGAATCTGATATAGTCTATACATGTACAATTATATTAAACATATTTCCACATTAGTCATGTTGTAAAAAAAAGAATCAGAACAAAAGGGAAAAACCATGAGAAAGAAAAAACAAAACAAAAAACAAAAAGAGAAAATAGTATGTTTTGATCTGTATTCAAACTCCATAGTTCTTTCTCTGGATGTAGATAGATAGCATTTTCCATCATGAGTCTTTTAGAATTGTCTTAGAGCATTGCATTGCTGAGATGAGCTAAGTCTATCAAAGTTGTTTATTGCACAATGTTGCTGTTACTGTGTACAGTGCTGTGGTTCTGCTCACTTCGCTAAGTGTCAGTTCATGTAAATCTTTCCAGGTTTTTCTGAAATCTGCCAGCTCATCATTTCTTATAGCACAATAGTATTCCATTCCATTCACGTGCCACAACTTGTTCAGCCATTCCCCAATTGATGGGCATCCTCTTAATTTCCAATTCTTTGCCACCACAAAAAGAGCTGCTACAAATATTTTTGTACATGTGGGTCCTTTCCTCTTTTTTATGATCTCTTTGGAATACAGATCTAGTAGTGGTATTGCTGGATCAAAGGGTATGCACAGTTTTATAGCCCTCTGGGCATAGTTCCAATCCAGAATGGTTGGATCAGTTTACAACTCTACCAACAATGCATTAATGTTCCAATTTTCCCACATCTTCTCCAACATTTATCATTTTCCTGTTTTGTCATGTTGGCCAATCTGATAGGTATGATGTGGTACTTCAGAGTTGTTTTGATTTGCATTTCTCTAATCAATAGTGATTTAGAGCATTTTTTGTATGACTATAGATAGTTTTAATTTCTTCATCAGTAAACCACATCTTTACCATCACACAATTAAATGATAGAGAGAATACTTATTCTTTATTATACAAATGCATTTGATAGAGTAGACCAAAATAATGCCTTAAAGGCTTTCCTTTAATAATGTATTACCCATGCACATGTCAAAAATATATAACATTCTTTGAAAGATATAACAAGGAGCAGCTAGGTGGCATAGTAGATAGAGCACTGGCCCTGGAGTCAGGAGGACCCGAGTTCAAATCCAGCCTCAGACACATGCTACTCACTAGCTGTGTGACCCTGTCACTCAACCCTGATCGCCTTGCCAAAAAAAAAAAAAAGATATAACAACAGTGATAACTTTGGCTTCCCCTGTGATCTTTAATATCAAGTAAGACATAAAAGAAGCTGCATATTTGTGAAAGGTATTTGACACTGTCATAAGAAAGATCTAGCAAAGTTAAAATTGAAGAGAGATTTTCTACAAATATTGAGGTCTTCCAAATGTTCCTCTTTTGAAGATGACATTGTGCCAGTTGCATCAAGCCCAAGCTGGGCTTCCTAATGAGATTTGTAATCAAAAGAATTTGGCTCAACTATCCACACTGCACAAATCAAGTGGATGAAGAACATCTGTTGTCAATCTTTTGTTAACACTTCTGGGAGGACATAGATGAGAGTGGCATAGGATGATTGGCAGGTATGGATGGATTGTAATCTGCATCCTTAAAAAGAATTTCACATTTTGGATACCATAGACTCATTAGAGGGCATTTTAAGTAATGGGGAAGAGAGGAAAACTAGTTCCAAGAAGGGAAAAGAATTTTCAAGTTAATAGAGCCAGTGATAGAGCCAGAGCTGGAACCTGTGTATCTTTTCTCCCAGTGTAGGGCTCACTTTAACATCAGATGGCATGTGATAAAGGCCATAAGAAAAAGTGGAACAAGGAAACTTGAAGGGGAAAGGGATAAGAGAAGGGGGGGAGAAATAGAAGGGAGGGCAGATTAGGAGAAGAATGCATGCCATCTTGGGGTCGGGGGAGGGACAAGATGGGGAGAAAATTTGGAACTCAAAATCTTGTGGAAGTGAATGCCAAAAACTAAAAATAAATAAATTGATTTTTTAAAAAAGAAAGAAAAACTGGAACAAATCAAAAATTCTAAGAAAGGAAAGATCCCTTCCAGGGCCATAAAGTGGTGTTGTTCTGTGATTCTACTCCTCTTCTTCATATTGTAGCCCTGGCCCTGAGCTCCTTTTTGCTTCCCTTTGACCTTTTTGCCTCTTTCTCTGACTTCAGCTCCCTTTCTTTTTAAAAATAAACATAATTTTCTAATCCTTCCACCCAACTTTCATTTAAAAAAAGAAGAAAAACCTTGTAACAAATATGAATAGTAAAAAAAAATTCTGCGTTGGCCATATCTAAAAAATGTATGTCTTATTCTGTGTTTTGAGTCTTATCACCTGCCTATCATGAGGTAGGTAGCTTACTTCATTATTGGTCCTCTGGTATCATGCTTAGTCATTGCATTGACTAGAGTTCTTAAGTCTTTCAAAGTTGTTTGTCTTTACAATGTTATAGTTTATTATATAAATTAATCTCTTGGAATGTTGTACATAGTAACTTAAGCTATTCTCAGCAATACAGTGATCCAAGACAATTCTGTAGGACTTATGGTGAAAGATGCTGTCCATCTCGAGAGAAAAAACTTGTAGAGCCAGAATGCAGATCAAAGATACTTTTTCTTTACTTCCTTTATTTTTCTTGTGTGTTTTTTTTGCCTGTGTTTTCTTTCACAGAATGACTTACATGAAAATGTGTTTTACATGACTATACATATATAACCTGTCAAATTGCTTGCCTTCTCAGTGGGGAGGAGAGGAGGGAGGGATAGAATTTGCAACTCAAATTTTGAAGAAAAAAAAAGAATGTTAATTGTTTTTACATGTAATTGGGAAAAAATAAAATTTTAAATAAGATAAATTAATCTGGTTTTGCTCACTTCACTCTGCATTAGCTCATATAAATCTTTCCAGGTTTTTCTAAAGCTGTCTTTTTCACAATTTCTTAGAGTACAAAAATATTCCACTATATTCGTATACCATAAATTATTTAGTCATTCCCTAATTGATGGACAGCTCCTTAGTTTCCAGTTCTTTGCCATGAAAAAAATAACTTTGATCCTTTTTCCTTATGAGAAAAGGGCCAGAGATGGGGTTGCCTATTCTCCATCCCCTTTTATTCCACAAGGTTTCAACCTAATCTCCCATATCCCTCTGGGTCCTTTGTTTTCTACAGGAGCCATGTCTACTCTGTTCCCTTCATTACTTCCACGTGTCACAGAGTCCTTGTGGTTTAACCTGGATCGACCCTGTGTAGATGAAAACGAGCTACAGCAGCAAGAACAGCAGCATCAGGCCTGGGTGAGTCATTGGGCTCTAGGCACACATCCCTTTCCTCTTCTCTCAGCCCTTAAGAAAGGGGAGGATCAGACCAAGAGAGGGTGCCTTGGAGTCTGGCTGTAATGCCAACTGCCCTGTTCATTCATACAGGAGCTCACCACATCATCCATGTCTTATCCCAGTTAAGAAAGGTAACAGCATGACATATTGGAAATGGCCCTGGGCTGGACATCAGGAGACCTGCATTCAGATCCCAATTTTGCCACTGACAACATGTGACCCTGATTAAGTCCTTTCCTTTCTCTCTCTCTCTCTCTCTCTCTCTCTCTCTCTCTCTCTCTCTCTCTCTCTCTCTCTCTCTCTCTCTCTCTCTCTCTCTTTCTCTCTCTTTTTTAGGTAATTGGGGTTTAGTGATTTGCCCAGGGTCACACAGCTAGTAAGTGTCAAGTGTTTGGTCTGAGGTCAGATTTGAACTCAGATCCTCCTGACTTCAGGGCTGGTGCTCTATCCACTCCATCCACTCTCTAGCTGCCCCCTTTCCTTTCTCTTGACCTCATTTTCCTCCTCTGTAAAAAGAGGGGATTGAACTGAATGATTGTTGAAAGAACATTGAATTTGAGAACCTGGGTTCATATCTTGACTAGAACACTTCCTCTGCAATTTGGGGTAATTTACATCACTTTTCTGAGACTCAGTTTCCTTCTGTTGAAAATGAGAGAATTGTCTAGATCAGAGGTTCCCAAACTTATTTGGCCTACTGCCCTCTTAAAAAAAAATTACTCAACACCCCCCTGGAAATCTACTTTCTTTTTTTTTTAAATGTATTTATTTTTAGTTTTTAACATTCACTTCCACAAGATTTTGAGTTCCAGATTTTCTCCCCATCGCTTCCCTCTGTCCACCCCAAGATTGTGTGCATTCTAAATACCCCTGCCCACAATCTGTCGTCCCTTCTATCACTACCCTGCCTTCTCTTATCCCTTTCCCTTTCTATTTTCCTATAGGGCAGGATAGATTTCTATACCCCTTTGCCTGTATATCTTATTTCCCAGTTGCATGTAAAAACAATTTTTAACATTCATTTTTAAAACTTTGAGTTGCAATTTCTCTTTCTTCCTCCCTCCCCACAAACCCTCATTGAGAAGGGAAGCAATTCGATATAGGTTATACATATGTTGTGAAACTGTGAAACACTACCTATATTTCCCTCCATCCTATCCCATCCATGCCTTCCCCCTCCCCATTTATTCTATTCTCTCTTTTGACCCTATCCCTTCTCAAAAGTGGGAAATCTACTTTCTTTAACCCTTCAATGTTTTTTTAAAATTTGCATCATTTCAAAAATATATCATTTTTTTCAAAGGACAGCTCTTAAATTTAATAATTGTAAATTTGTGGGTTTTTTCCTGCATAACCATGTAGTATTGTATTGTAAACAAGTCATTACATGCACATATTCCTGCTGATGGGTGCTGGACATCCCCACAACGTGGGACACACTTGCCTGCCAACACTTGCTTGTTAAGACCTGTTGGCGGACTTGACCACTGATTGGTTATAACTTGCATTTTGTGTGTTTATTTGGAAAATAATGTAATTGCTATGACTTTAACTCTGTTATACAACAGATGACATTGATGTGAACAGTTTTTCAAAATTTTCTTCTGTTCTTTACTTATGCTTCCATTGCCCTCTTATTTTTATTCAACACCCCCCAATTGCACCTGAAGCTACTACTGCTTGTCCTGTATCGTTCTGGTGCCTCCTGGAGGCAGTATCACCCACTTTGGGAACCTGTGGTCTGGATTACACCTAAGAGTCTTCTCAGTTCAGGTGTCTTATGCCTGTAGTTCTACTTGTCTCTCGTGATGGGCTTCCATCTACCTCCTCTGTGCAGCATCTTCCCTTCCTTCTTCTGTATGACTTTGGGCAAACCCTTTCTTCTATTATCTGGATCTCAGTTTCTCTACCAGTGTAATAAAAAAATTCCTAGGAGTGGGAATGAGGAGGCAGAGACAATATAGTGAGATGTGCAGAAGACTTGGGTTCAGAGGACTTGGGTTCTAGGCTTGGCTCTGCTACTTACTACCTCTGTGACATTGGACAAGTCACTTAAATCTTTTTGGCCTCAGTGTCCTAATCTGTAAAACCAAAATCCCTTCCAACTCAAAGCTGTTGAAGTAAGTAATCTCAAAGGTCCCTGCCAGTTCCTGTGATCCTATGAGAGCTGAGTTCTAGTTTTCAGTTCACGATATGCTCTGGATGGAACCTCCCTCACAGCATACTGGTCCCCATTTTCCTTCCAGTTCTTAAAAAATGTTGCTATAAATATTTTTGTATAAGTGGGACCTTTCCTTCTCTCTTTGTGTCTGGGGGTAGGATCTCTTGGTCAAAGGATATGGACAAAAAACATAATTCCAAATTGTTTCCCAAAAGGGTCTGACCAATTTGTAGCTCTAGCAACAGTGTATTCATAAGCCTCTCTTCATAAAGTTGCTCCAACATTTATCATTTTGTCTTTTGTCATCTTTGTGCTTATCTGGCTGATTCTCTTATTTTACATAGGACGGAACTGAGACCAGTAGAGGTTGTGTATTGCCCAAAGACACACAAGTCATTAGGAGCAGAGCTCTGGGATACACACTAAGGGCCTCCTCTACCAAATCATGTAGTCTCCAGAAGGCTTTCTAGAAAAGGTGGGCCTTGAACTAGGCCTTGAAGGACAGAAGGATTTGGAGATGCTGAGTCTAAAAGGGAAAGTATTCCCACATGAAGCATAGTCTCAGGCAGGGAATAGGGAACCTAGCTTGGGAGGGAGGAGGGGTATGGTGCTATTGGTGAGAAGGAAGGGCCAAGCCTGAGGGTAAATGACATCACAAGGAAGGGCAGAGTGGCATGAGACCTCCTCTCAATATAGTGATTACGCCCCTTTCTATGGTGTTTTAATGTTTACAGAGGACTTTCTGCTCAACAGCTCTCAGAAGGAGGCAATCTGAGTATCATGAACTCTGGTTTACAGAGAAAGAAACAGGCCCAGAGAAAGAAGGTAGCAAGCTCATGATCACAGAGCTAGAGTTTGAGCCTAGGCCTCTCTCAGCTAAATCCAGGGTTTATTCTTTCCTACTACACTATTTAGGAAATGTGTTTTCTGAGCTGAGATTCTGGATTTAGGGTTTGAAGTGAAATTTGCTATTGAGGGCAGTAGGGTTTCTCATCTCCCTCATTGAAATGAATGAATGAGTGAGTGAATGAATGAATGAAAAATCATTTATTAAGAGTTTACTATGTGTCAAATGCTATGTTAAGCACTAGAGATACAAAGAGCAAAAAAAGAAAACCCAAAACCAAGACAGTTCCTGCTTTTATGGAGCTCACAATCTAATTAGGAGATACAACACATATATAAAGAGTTCAGCTTCAGGTCAGATGGCAAGGCCCAGGTGTCCTAAGTGTAGATGGTGGTGCCCAGTAGTCTTGAGCTCATGGTGGCAAGGGAAATTGGTATCTTTCATCTTACTGCAAGACTAATAGTTGGTGACTCCAGTGTCATCCAAATGACATGAATCTTCCTGCCTACAGGCCCTAAGGGAACTGTGGGGAAGAAGAGAAAGGGAAGACATGGGAGAAGGGTATCCCTGCTAGCCATTCTTTCCTCCTGGCCAGCCAGTTGAAATGAGAAAACACTTTTTCCTCCAGTGAAATAGCTAAAAAGACTTATTGTTTGGTCATGGGAATACTTTCTGTGTACTTGTGAGTGAACTCTTGTCCCAAAGCCCATTGCTGCCCTAAGACTGCCTTCCCTAAAGTAGACCTGACAAACTAGGTGCTGATGAGCTGTGAGTCCAGGATTCTAGCTTCTCCTTCCCATCCCTGGGCTACCAACGTTAGTGCCAGGCAAAACATCAATAACAGTTTTTTTTTAATTTAAAAAAATTTTTATTTATTTATTTTTAGCTTTCAACAATCACTTCCATAAGCTTTTGAGTTTTAAACTTTTCTCCCCCTCCCTTCCCTTCTCTCTTCCCAAGATGGCATGCAATCTGATATAGGCTCTAAATGTACATTCCTATTAAACATTTTCACATTAGTCATGTTGTAAGGAAGAATTAGAACCAATAGGAGGAACCACAAGAAAGAGGAAACAAAACAGAAGAGAAGAGAAAAAAAGAGCAAATAGTATACTTCAATCTACATTCGAACTCCAAAGTTCTTTCTCTGGATGTGGATAGCATTTTCCATCATGAGACTTTTGGAGATGTCTTAGATCCTTACATTGCTGAGATGAGCTAAGTCTGTCAAAGTTAGTCATCGTACAACGTGGCAACAATGTTCTCCTGGTTCTGCTCATTTCATTCAGCATCAGCTCATATAAGTCTTTCCAGGTTTTTTTTGAAGTCTGCCTGCTCATCATTTCTTATAGCACAATAGTATTCCATTACATTCATATACCACAACTTGTTCAGCCATTCCCCAATTGATGGGCATCCCCTCAACAATAATAGTTTTAATGGCCAATTGTGTCATTATCTGATTGCTTAGCAACAGCCTGGCTACTGTGACCCTTCTCCAACATCCCTTTTCAGAGTATACCTACTATTAAAACCAGCCATGCTTCCTTCAGACCATGTTCTCTCTTACCTTGGAAGGAGCAAGTCTAAGGTCATGAGAGAACAGGTGAATGGGGGCAGTGTGTCCCACGAGGAGAGGGATTGTCTCCTCTTTTGGGGTGAGGATCTGGGAGCAGGATGGACACTCCTTATCCCTTCTGTAACCATCCTTTCCTGCTCTGTTGTACAATTTCCCCCACAGCTCCAGAGTATTGCTGAGAGAGACAACAACCTAGTACCCATTGGGAAACCAGCTTCAGAGGTGAGCCCAGCAAATCTCTTGGTCGCAGAGACACTTTGTGGCTTCTGGGCTTCATGGACCATGAGGTGAACTGAGGCCTGAGAGGTTGGGTACTGGGGAGGGACAGATTAGAGGCTCTGGACACTGGAAAAAAGTACCCAGGAAGAAGAGTCCCTGGGGCAAGGAATAAACAAACTCCACAGGAATAGGGTGAGATGGGGAACTGGGGGAAATTGGAATGTGCCTGAGGAGATGTCACCCTCAAGCCCTAAACAGTTTTAGTGCCTCCCATTTCTACAGTGCTTGAAGGTTTTTGAAGTACTTTTCTCATCTCACAAAATGTTGTGAGTGCCTTTTCCCTCTACTTCACAGAGAAATTAAGTCAAATATTCTTTCACAGCTTATAAGTGCCACAGCTGAAATTGGATCCCAGGTCTCTCTGGACTCCATTTCCAGTGTTCTGCCTTCCGGTTGAACCAGACCTTTTTAATAGCTTGTTTGTAGAATAAGGTAAAAGCTGTTTAACAGAGAATCCAAATAGAGTCAAAGAAATTCTTTGTCATTGGTTTCCTGATGTGTCCCTGAAGTGGTCTGAAGCCAGTCTCTGCCTTGTGAAGACCACAAGAGGGATGATGGCCCTAGCTTCCACGACTTGTCACTGGGGCCTGATAGGCTGGTACCTATTGCCTTTTGAGCAGGCAAGAAACAGAACCTGGGCCCTATCACAGTCAGGAGTAGGAAAAGAAGGCATGAAAGTATTCAAAGAGCAGGATTCCTTGCCCCTACCTCTTCCCTATTTTCCTACCTCCTCATTGTACTAAAGAACAGTACTGTAGATTGGAGGTACAAATGAATTGATCTCATTGTGTGGAGTTTGGAAGATGGAAGCTGAGGGATTCATGTGGGATGAGAACTTCCCAGGCAGAAGGCCAGCCCTATGTCCCCACCTCTTCCCTAAACTGTCTGCCATTTTCTCTGGTAGCACTATGATGATGAGGAAGAAGAAGATGATGAGGATGATGAAGACAGTGAGGAAGACTCAGAAGATGATGAGGACATGCAGGACATGGATGAGATGAATGATTATAATGAATCCCCTGATGATGGGGAGATCAATGAGGTAGGCTGAAGTTCTTCCTCTCTCTAGAGCCCTGTATGGCACAGCCCTCGTTGGGTAAGGGGTTGGGGAGAGGGTTTCTTAATCAAAGCCTGTATAGGCTACGACCTTGCACCCTCTGATGAGTCCTAAGGAGATGGGGTTGGGTCCAAGGCCCATGACACTGTCCCTTGAAAATGAAGCCCTCCTAAGTCTGGGATTCTTTGGGTTTCCCCATGGGCTGATGCTTAAAAAGGAAGGCTAATTGGCCCAGTTGACTCAGTGACCATAGCTACCTGAAGTCTGTAAGCTCTGCTTGCTTCCCTGTGCCCTCGCCAGGTGGATATGGAAGGTGCTGAGCAGGACCAGGACCAGTGGATGATCTAGCTGGGGCTGGCAGCTGCAGACTGGACCCCAGAGCTGTCTTCTCTCTCTGGGTCTCTTGGGTACAGGGCAGTTACCCACTGAAGCCCAGAGGGAGCTGCTCGGCCAAGCTGCTGGCCCTCCTCCACTCCCTTCCCACCCCCTACCTCTTAACCCCTTTAATAAAGGCACAGGGTGGTTTCTTTTCCAAAGTCTTATTTTCCACATCTGTCATGCCTCCAGAATCCCTGTTCCACCCCTTGGTGCCTCTGCTCTGGATGTGGGAGTGCTGTTCTTGCTGTCATGCTTCTGGACAGGATGACCTAGTGGAAAGGGCACTCCACTTGGTATCCAGAGAGTCCTGGGCTCATTTTTGTCTTGTATCCACAGCACCCAGCATAGTGCCTGACGTGGAGGAGGTGCTCAGTGCTAACTGAATTGAATTGCATCTCAGTTCCAGTATTCATAGTTTTGTGACTATGGGCCTTGGTCGTCTTAGTTTCTGTAAAATGGGGATAATAATAGTACCTACCTCACAGCCTGGTATAGGAGAGTGCTTTGCAAAACCTTATGTTACTAGAAAAATGTGAGTTATTAAGGAGAACATAGAGATCTTGCCAGAGACTGAGAGCAGGCCCTAAAAGTCCCAGGACTTGGGGCCTTATATGAGTTAAGAAAGGATTATTAACCTTAGGGATTCAGGGCCAGATCTCCTTTTGCAGCATGGGTTTTAGGCAAGGATAGGTGTATCTCCCTTTGTACCACATAAGTGCTCTTGCCTAGTAGAAGGGCTTAGACATTTATGCTGGGGACAGATAGGGGAAAGGGAACTAAAAATAGCTTACATTTCTGTAGTGGCTTAGCATGTAAAAAGTACTGGAGTCAGAATTATTTAGTGCAAGTATTGTTATCTCTGTGTTCCAGATGAGGAAATAAGTCTCAGTGAAGGGGAGTCCAAGTCCATGGTCATTCAGCTAATAAGTAAAACTCAGACAAGGGCTTCTGACTTGTGAGGAAGCTTGTTGTGATGGCATGTGGTGTAGCACAAAGACTCGACCATGAATCAGAAGACCTGGGTTCTGCTACATATTAGCTATGTGACCTTGGACAGATCAGCTACTATCTCTGACCTGCGGTTTTGTCCTGTAAACCTAGCTCTAACATTCTATAACCCTATGACCCTCAGGTCCAGCATTCTTTCCATTCTACAAACTCTGTATCCCCTTTTCCTTTACTCTCTCCTTTCCATAAGACCCTGTAAGTGCCAGAAGAGAAGAGTGTAAGTCTTGGAGGCCCAAGGGCTGGAGAAGGGGAATGAGGATTCTTGGACTTGGGAAAAGAGAAGGAATGGGTGGAAAGGTCCATGAGTGTGGAAGACAGCCCCACAAATTGATTCTGTGCTCTTCCTGACATGGCTTTCCAAACTTCTACCCCTGCCTGTTTGGGAGAGAGGCAGGAATATGGGCACCTCAGTGAGTCTCCAGGCAAGTAAGCTAGGGACTGACTCGGGAGAAGGAAGTTAATAATAGCTTCCATTTCCATAGTGCTTCAGAGTTTACAAACACTTTGCTCACATCAACCCTGTGGCAGAGGTATTATTCCATTTTAAAGATATGCAAACAGGCTCAGAGAGTGAAGTGACTTGTTTAAGGTCACCCAGCTTAGAGGTGGGACTCAAACCTGGATCTCTTCACTCCAAGTCCAGTTTTCTTTCTTTACACTGATGCTCTTTCTACTTTGATTTCCCCTCCTCCTGGCCTCTTTCCTTCCTGCCTCCCAACCCCTATGAGGGCCATGGGGCAAAGTTGAGCCCAGGCCTTAGTGGGGCCAGGTAGGTGTGGGACAGGAGACCCTGACTGGACAAAGGAGGAGAAGCAGAGAGAATGGTGAGAGAGCCTTATCAGTTGCCATTTATGGTCCTCAGTCTCTCTCCCAGAATCTCCTGTAGCAAGCAATGCACTTTCTACCGTACCATGTGGCAGAAGGTAGCATGCTAGAGTAAGCAGAGGGCTGGATTTGGAGTCTGAAAACTTGGGTGCAGATCCCAGTCTGCTACTTATATATATGATCTTGGCCTCAGGTTTCTCCTCTGTAAATGAGAGTTTGAACTATATAGACTGTGGGGTCCTTTGCAGCTCTCCATCCTATGATCCTAACAAGATGGACCTTCCTCAGCCTGGCCCCAAGTAAGTGAGTTGGGCCACACCATCACGGATGGCAGGGAAGTATTGGAGTCCAGTGTGGTGGAGGCGACAGTGGTATCTACCACAGGCCTTAGTGTACTGCAGGAAGCGTGGTGCTCCAGGGAAGAGCACATGATCTGCCAGCACAGTGGCACCAGCAGGCAGCAGGGCATGGGCTTCCAGGAGTTGCAGGTCCCGCAGGTAGCAGCGAGGCCGGTGCCCCAGAAGCACCAGTCCAGCCTGATGTAGTCTGTGTTGGACCTTTAGGCGGGGGATCACCTCCTCAGAGCGCCCCACAATCAGCTCCACCTGCCAAATGGGGATATGTGAGAAGAAGGATGGACAGGAGGAGGAGTGTAAGGAGGGAGAAGGGAAAAGAAATGCAGAAGAAGAAAGCCAGTCCTCTTCCTACAGGGGCTTCCTATGTGGTCATCCCTCCTGTCATAGATGATGGAGACAGAAGAAAACAGGAGAATTAAAGTCCTTGTTCTAGCTTGATTAGTCATTTTTATTGTGAACTTCAGTAAGTCTTTTCCCTTCTCTAAGCTTTAGTTTCCCCTTCTATAAAAATCACGTGGTTGGACAATATGGTCTCTAAGGCCTTTTTCACAGCAGATATTTGTTCGAGCTCTAATATTCTGGTCCATATTCTGAGACTCCTTCCAGCTCTAACACTATTCCATGTTCTAAGGTCCACTTACAGTTCTAACATTCTCCTGTTTTACTTTCATTGGTTCCTCTTATTCCCCAAGGCAGAGGCTCTCACTGGTTGGGTTCATGGGGAAGTGTGGGGAGGAGCAGCATAAGTGGGGAAAGCAGGAGAAGGAGGAAGAACCCACATTGAGGCTGGCAGGGAATGACATAGGCTGTTTGGTTGGTTTTTGGTTTTGTTTTGGTTTTTTTGGCTAGGCAGGGAAGTTAAGTGACTTGCCCAGGGTCACACAGCTAGTAAGTAGCAAGTATCTGAGGCTGGATTTGAACTCAGATCCTCCTGACTCTAGGGCTGGTGCTGTATCCACTCACTGTACCACCTAGCTGCCCCGACATAGGCTGTTTGGGACCAGGAGAACTTGTGGATCAGGCTCCCAAAAGAAAGCGAGATGAAGGGGTAGAAAGGAATCTGACCTTGCACTCATCAAAGCCTGCCAGCCGGATGACTTTTTCTGCCACAGTTGCTGTCCGCGGGTCCATTTCAACAGTAACAAGCCGGCTGCCTGGAGGCAGGGCCTGAGCGATGAGCAAGGTAGCATAGCCACAGCGGGTACCCAGCTCTAGCACACACTCTGGGGCCTGTTGTGTTACTAGGCGGGTCAGGATCTGACCTGAGGAGAGAACAAGCCACAGGCTAGAATTAGGGAGAGACAGAGGAAGGAGACCAAGTCCCTCATCCTCAGGAAATCCCTGTCTAAGGTGGAACACGCAATCCCTATCTTGGAAGAGCCTGGTGTCTGAGAACCAGGTGGCTGCTTGAGGTTCCATAGCAAATTAGTGCATTTCTAGGATTAGAACCCAGGCCTCCTCATGGCCTGTTCAAGGCATTTTCCACATCAGGGTTTTTAGCATAGCAGCATGGGAAAGAGCATGAGGACTGAGATCGCAGGTCTTCTACCTGTGGACAGGCACTTCAATAATTCTGGGCCTCAGTCCCTTCCTGTTTTTGGACTTCTAGGTGACAGTTAATAGTGGGGGACCTGCAGCTCCCGGAAGCCTGTGCTCTGCTGCCTGCTGGTGCCACTGTGCTGGTACATCATGTTAGATAGTGACTTCTAAGCTCTCTGTCATCTTGAAATCTTTGGACCCTATGAACTCTATCAGGCTGGCTCCTAAGGAAGGCTTCTGACAGGAGGTGAGTTTAGGATGGGCCTGACCTTTGAGAGGCCCCAGATGGGCCAGGTATTCACAGTGGCTGCTCCAGTGGTCGAAGGTGGCGAGGATGTGGCCAGGGTCTCCAGGGAGGGCATTGGTCAGCACATAGCTGAAGGCACGCTCCTCAGGCCGTAGTCCGGTCAAGCAATCACGAATCCCCCGAAATAACACAGCCCGGACCAGTAGCCGGAAGTAATGGCGGTATCTGGCCAGCAGGGTCACTACTAGTGGCAGGAAGGCAAGAGCAATGGCAGGAGACATGTTCTTGTTCCCTCAGGATCCTGCAGGAGGGAAAGGATAGGAGAGATAAGGGCAACTTATCAGTTGCCAGTAGGAACTAGAGCCACAGAATAACAGAAAGGACCTCAGAGTTCCTCTGGACTGGTCCAACTTGTGGAATCTCTTATGTGCCAGCCTCCCTAGTAAGGCACCTGGCTGTTAGTAAATATTCTTTTTTAGCATTTAGGGTTAGGGACTCACCCCAAGGTCACACATTGAGCCAGGCCTGGAACCTAAGACTACTGACTCCTAACACAGAACTCTTTTCGTTATATTTCTAGATTTGCTAAATAAGTGACTCCTTCCCAAATTTGGGAACTTTGAGAAACGCCATTTTCCACTCCCAGAGGTTGAAAAAAATAAGTTAGGAATCCTACATTCTTACTCCTAGCTCTATCACTATATAACTTTGTGGTCTTGGGGTTGGAGGCTTCCTAAAGCTCCTTCTTACCTGATCTGGAGACACAGGCTGGCACAGGCAATAGGACAGGAGTGGAGAAGCCCCAGGCTGGGGGAAATGGAGATGAAGGGCACAGACAGATGCTCCAGGGGAGAGGCAGCCACTCACCTTCAATTATTAAGTGTCACTTGAGAGTAGGAGCTCAGGTTACCACAGGCCAGATGGAAGGTGGAGCTATGTCTCTGCTCCCTTCCCACACCCCCAGGCTGTCTGCTTCCTGGTTTATCCTGAAGGGCTTCAAGTATGGTGAGGAGCTGGATCCAAATCATGGCTGCTGAAATGCACGGACCCCCTTTCCTGACAGTTCCTCTCCCAAAGGCTAGGTTCAAATGTCCACTTCTCTCCTCCATGTGAAAGACGCAGCTACAGTGTTGGACCTGGGTTCAAATGTGGACTCTGCCCCTTAATGTGTGATCTCGAGCAAATCACTTTTCTTCCTCCTTATTTTTCTTCTTCCTTATGAGGGGGTTGAACTAGTGATCTCTAAGGTCCCATTGAGCTGAAGCTATTAAATCATAGGGTCAATTGATCATAGGCTCAGAGCTGTAAGAAATCTTAGTGGTCATCTAGACCTCCTAGTTTTACAAATACAGAAACTCAGGCTCAGATAGTCAAGTGACTTCCCCAAAGTCATCAGGTAGTAAGTGATAGAACAAGGATCCAAGCACAGGCTCTCTGACTTTAAACTCAGTATTCTTTCTTAAAGGCTCTCCATGGGTCCTTATTTTCTTTCTCCATTTTTCTGCAGTTGTCTGCATCAATTGTGCTGTTTCTTAACCAGGACTCGAGGTGTACCTCATTTGGTGGTCAGCGATGCCCCTCCGAAAAGGGCCATAACTGCATATTAGGTCCCTTGTATCTATCCTGGCAGGCCAATAGTCTGTTTTCCATCCCTAACAATTACTCATAGTTGTTGAGTTGAGCGGCAAGATGCTCTTTCCCTACTAGCACATCCTTCTCTTCATCTTCAGTCCATCTCTCTCTCTCCAGGGCCATTTTAAATCTCTTCACCATCTCCTTGTACCCTTTAAGTGACTTAAGAACCAGTTTCTAAATCTTCCCCACCGTAATTATCTCAAGGTTTCTGGAACATGCCCCATCAGGCAGTTTCTGTAATATAGATATTGCCTTTCATTCCTCTTTTTAAACCTTGGGTTTAAGTACCTCAACTGTCCTCATTTTGTTCACAGCATTATTACGTAAGGTTCTTTCAATACCTTCATCACATTAGTAAACATGTAAACCCCTAACAATCCTCAGTAAATATCCAATCCTCCCCTAATTGTGCACTAATTTTCTGAAAGCCACGACAGCCATGGTGCTGTTTAATCTGACAGTCACCAAGATCAATAATCTCTATTTCAATGATACCTTCCAAGAATACAGGTTAACTGAAAACAATTGCTCTGCTCTTTAAAAGCCACATCCAAAACAAAATCTTGCTGATTAATCACAAAGTAGGAAATAGGATAAAAGGAAAACTCTGCTGGGATAACTGCAATTCTAGGGCTTGAAAAAACAGACACAAAGATACTAGATAAGCCCTCACAATGTAGCATTGCATTCTACAAATACTTTATTCATCGGTCCTTTAAAAACTGCCCAAAGTTGAAAGCCTGTAATGGATCAGCATCTGCTCAAAGCTTCATTAATATTTTGTTTCACCTTCTCTGAAATTCTGTGTTTTGTATTTACTTGACAAATGAGACTATTTCTTTGTCTCTATATCCTCAGTTCCTGGTATAGTGCTTAGCACATAGTAGGCTCCTGATAACTGCTCATTGAATTTAACTGAATTGAGCAACTTATGAACCCCATCAATGTGTTTATTTCTTTTTCTTTTAAAAATGTTTTGTTAATGCTTTTTTAACATCACTGTCACTTCCCAGCAAATTCCCCCATACATACCCAACAATATAACCTCCCGTGTAAAAGTAGTCAAGCAAAGCAAATCAATACATTGGCCATGTCAGAAAATATGTCTTATTCCTCATTTACTGTCCCCTTCCTCTTTGATACAGGTAGGATGCATGTCTTACCATCAAGTCTTGTGTAGTTCCAACCAGTCCTTGCATTATTTTGAATTCTGCAGTCTTTCAGTGTTGTTTTCATGTATGTTATTATGGTCATCATGTAAATTGTTCTTTTGGTCCTACTTACTTTACTCTATATCAGTTCACATAGGTCTTATTTTCTCAGTTCTTTACATTTGTCATTTCTTTGGTATAACAGTATTCCATTACATTCATATACTTTTTCAATGCCTCCTAATTGGTGTCTTTGCCTCAAACCTTTCCCCACTTCAATGTACTCTCCACACAGCTGCCAAAGTGATTCTTCTAAAGTGATTCTTCTAAAGTCTGGCCATTTCATTCCCCCTACTCAAACTCCACTGGTTTCCTGTGAACTCTAAGATAAAATATAAGTGCCTTTGTTTGGCAATTAAGGCTCTACATATTCCTACCCCATCCAAGCCTTCTTACACATTTCTCCCCTCCATGAACTCTATGGTCCAGACATACTGGTCTAGTTGCTGTTATTCACACATAACACTCTCTCCCATCTCCATGCTTTTGCATCATCTGTCTTTTTTATCTGGAATGCTCTTTATCTTTACCTCTGTTTCTTTGAATCTGTTTTTCTTTAAATTCTAGCTCAAGTGCTTTCTTCTGCATAAGGCTTCTGGTAGGAGCAATATTTGCAACTAATCTGGTTGTGGAGGAATTCATTATGCATGACCTAAGAAGACCCTGCCACATAGGCTAGTTATTCCCTAAAAGGACAGTAAAACCATCTTTGAAATTTAATTGGGCCAGGGCCTAAGGCTTGAACTCTGTATAAAGGTTTCCTGCTCACCTAAGGCATAAAAGCCCAGTGCCTCAAGTAGTCTGATACCCCTCAGATTTGATGGCTTCCCACTGCCTTCTAAGTCAGCACATTTCTAATGACAGGCCACACCATTCCTGGTAAATGTGGAAGTGAGAGGAGTTGTAACCAACTGAATCTTTGCTGAATATACTTTCTATGTTATTATGGAGTAAATGTCCTTATTCTAAAGGTACCGTGGTCTAGGGGTCTCTCATTTTGTTCCAATCCTGAGGCTGAACTACTGGATAGGACCGATTCAGGCCTGACCCAGAGCAAGTCCTGGTTCCCATGGCTACTTGTGCCTTCTCTTTCAAGGCTGCTTTGTACCTGCTTTATATGTTAGGTACTTGTGTGTGTATATCTACACACACACACACATACACACACACACACACACACATGCATATATGTATGCATATGTATTGTATGTATGTATATATGTATATGTATGTATTTTGCATATTTCTGTCTCTCCTATTAGAATGTAAGCTCCTTGAGGGTAAGGACTTTTGTCCTTTTTTGCTTGAGAGTATGCTTTTTAAGGGTAGGAACTTTGTCCATTTTTATTTTTGTGCTAATGACTAACACAGTGCCTGGCACATAGTGTTTAATGGATATTTAATTAATACGCCATAGTTTATCCATTCCCTTATTGATGGGTACTGACGTTCCTTGTAGTTCTTTGCTGTTACAAAAAGTACTGCTGCAAATATTTTGTATACATGGAACCTCTAGTTGTGTTATCACTGGATCAAAAGGTATGTATATTTTAGTGAGTCTGTTAGTGTAGATTGAGGGCTGGCCTTGGAGCCAGATCTTGGTTCAGGTATAGCCTCTAACTAACATTAACTGTATCACATCTTCCCAGTGCCTTTAGGCAACTCACTATGGCTATAAGTTGCAGAGAAGATACCAACCTACTTTGGTAGAGGGCTTTTCTTCATCCCAGAATTTCCTGTCAATGAAGCTCAAGAATAGTCTGTATCCTTTTAGTATAGATGGTTTGGGTTTTTTTTCTTTTTAGCCAGAGGGCACATTAGTTCAAAGTAAAAGATATGTAATTAGATTGTGAAACTAGTGACAGGATAGATCCACTCCACACACAGGGGTGGGATATTTTTCCTCTTCTACAGCCACTATGCCCCTCATTACACCTTGACTATGATATTTCCTTCTCTTATCCCCCTGAAGGCCGAGCCCAGATCTGCTTCTGTTCTGTCTCCCACATACTGAACCCAGATTTGGGCTTCAAACACACTGGTGACTTAAAATTCTTAACTGAATAAAGGGATGGCTATGGGCATCAATGACATGGAAGATTCAGTCATATGCTATGTTATGATACAGAATAGCAGCCTAGGCTGCTGAATTCAAGGAATTATAAATGTAAGAGTAGGAAGCAATCTTGGGATAAACAATATGAAATGTCAGACCTAGAAAGAATCTTAGAACAAAGAATGTGAGAGCTGTGATCAGACCTTAGATCAGATAATGGGCATTCTGGGAAAATGATGGAGTGGGTCAGAAATTTCTGGTTTCTCCAGATTTTCTCCACAGACAGAAAATTGCCATGAAATGAACATAGAATAGCAAAAATAAATGGGTAAAAGCAGTTGTCTTCCTAAGATAACTCAGAGGATCTCAGAAAAGATAGGAACTTCAGGGGCTGAGGTATGGCCTGAGTGAAGTGCAGACACCTCCAGACCAACTGCACTGAATCAACGAACAGCAGGCTGTGAAGCAGCTCTGTGAGGAAGCAGACCAGGCTCCAAGAAATTTCACCTCAGGAACTTTCACTTCACAGCCTCAGGAACTTTTACCTCACAAAGAACAGACAGTTGAGTGGGGGAAAGACTGAAAGACCCCTATCCCCAGGTTCCTTACTCCAGTTCTGGGAGCCAGGCCTAGCAGTGCTGACCAGAAGTGATCCCATGCTGTGGGAGGAGTGAGCACAGGGCTGGTGAGTGCAGTACTGTAGGGAGCAAGAAAATTTTGGGGATGGCAGGGGGCCCTAACTGTTTCTTAGGGGAAGAGAGGTGTCCCTGAGGTTAAGCCCCTGGAGAGAATTCAGAAAATAACAATATGGAGGACCTGAGGCCTAGGGCAACATTACCCACAATTTGGGATTAAAAATTGATTATAAAATAAACTGTTGAAAATGAAATAAAACAAATAAGATAAAAATAAAAATGAGTAAGCAAAGGAAAAAGAACCCAACCATAGATAGCTATTTTGGTGTAGAAGAAGATCTGGGTTCATATTCAGAGGACGATAATAAGGTAAAAAAAAAAAAAGCCACTCCTACCCCAAAGAATACATCAAATGGTCACATGCCCAAAGAAAGTTCTTGGAAGAACTTAAAAAGGAATTCAAACATCAAATGAGAGATCAAAGGAAAAATAGGAGTAAAAATTAAAAGTAATCCAAGAAAATCATGAAAAGAATGTTAACCAATTGGAAAAAGGTCCAAAATCTTAAGGAAGAAAATAACTCAACTAGAATTGAGCAAGAGGACTCAAATGACATTATAAGACACCAAGAAATAATAAAACTAGAAAAAAAAAGAATCTGAAACATCTCATTAGAAAAACAACTGATCAGGAGAACAGATTGAGGAGAGACAATATAAGAATTGTCAGACTAGGAGCAGCTAGGTGGCACAGTGGATAGAGCACTGGCCCTGAAGTCAGGAGGACCTGAGTTCAAATCCGGGCTCAGACCAAACACTTGACATTTGCTAGCTGTGTGACTCTGGGCAAATCACTTAACCCCAGTTGCCTAAAAAAAAAGAATTGTGAGACTACCTGAAAGTTATGATCAAAAAAAGAATCTGGATATAATATTACAAGAAATTATTAAAGAAAATTGCCCTGAAGTTCTAGAACAAGAAATGCTCTTGTAGAGTAGAAATAGGAAAAAATCTACCATTTATCACCTGAAAAAGATCCCAAGAGTAAAACTTAAAGGAATTTCATAGCTAAGTTTCAAAACTACTAGGTTAAGGAGAAAATATTGCAAGCAACAAGAAAAAAAACCCAACAATTTAAATACCGCAGAAATATAGTCAGGATTTCACATGGCCTAGTAGCTTCTACTCTAAAAGACCATTGGTCTTGGAACATATTACAAAGAGCAAAAGAGCTGGGGTTGCAGCCAAAATATAACTTACCCAGCACAGTTGAATATAATCTTGAATGAAAAAAAAAAAGGATATCTGACAAACTGAAAAACTTTCAGGTATTTGTAATAAAAAGACCAGAACTCAATGGAAAATTCAATTAAAAAGATCCAGAAGAAATATAAGGAAAACCTTAAAGACTAATTATAAGGCACTCATTAAGGTCAAACTTTACCTACTATATATGAAAATGTTATCAGTATTCTTAAAACTCATCATTACTAACATAGTTTGAAAGAAAGGTTGGGGTGATTCTAAAGGACAAAATTGGGCAGGAAAAGGTAAAAGAGAGCACTTATAAAAATGGGGCATGAAAGGAAGAACTAACATAGAGGAAGCAGGGGTGGAGGGCTGGTAATGTTGGAATCTTACTCTCATCTGGGTTGAAGAGGAAACTATATCTGGAAGGGTATAGAAATCTTCTGAACATGTGGAGAGGTGAAAAAATTGGGGGACAGGGTGGGGGAAGGAAATTTAAAAAATTAATAGTATTTTATTTTTTCCAATTACATATAAAAGCAATTTTCAACATTCATTTTTTGAAGATTTTGAATTCCAAATGTTTTTCCTCCCTCCCCTCCCCCCTCCCCATGATAGCAAACAATCTGATATAGGTTATACATGTGCAATAATGTAAAACCCATTTCCACATTAGTCATGTTGTGAAAGAATAAACAGAAAAAAGAAAAAAAACCATGGAAAAAGCAAAAATAGTGTGTGTCCATCTGCATTCAGACTCCATCAGTTCTTTCTCTGGATGTGGATATCATTTTCCATCATGAGTCTTTTAGAATTGTCTTGGATCATTGTATTGTTGAAAAGAGCTAAATCAATCATAGTTGATCATTGCAGTGTTACTGTTAACTGTGTACAATGTTCTCCTGGTTCTGTTCACTTCACTTAGCATCAGTAAGTCTTTCCAGGTTTTCCTGAAATCTGCTTGCTCATTTTTTCTTTTTTGGCGAGGCAACTGGGGTTAAGTGACTTGCCCAAAGTCACACAGCTACTGAGTGTTATGTATCTGATGTAGGATTTGAATGCAGGGCCTCCTGACTCCAAGGCCGGTGCTCTGTCCACTGCACCACCTAGCTACCCCCTGCTTATCATTTCTTATAGCAGAATA